TTTGTATAAACTTAGGCAGTGCTTGTGGGGGGGATATAGAAAAGAACTGCTATCAGAAGCTACCAGCTATCTCAAACTCAAGGGAAAAAGCATTTATACTACCAAGTCCTACTTTGTTGGACTTTATGATCTTAAAGGTCTTTTCCAACCTTAATGATTCTGTGTGTGTGATACCATGGGCTTAAAACTCTTGGTTCCAATTAGATATTAACTCTTTTCCTGTCCTTGTCCCTCTCCCTCATTTTTTCCCAAAGATAACTTTTACCACTAGAGTTAATGCATGTAAACCTGCAATAAACCTGCAACTTTTGTGCAATACATTCAGTTCTAGTTGCACTTCCCCCCTGCCTCCAGTAAGGGATAGCAATAACCTCTATAGTTTCATTCCTAATCAGATCTAATTAAAATTGAGCTGTCAACCTTTTATTTTTAGGTTATGAATAATTAATAGAACATTTTAATAATACGTATTAAGTACAAGAATTGGATATTAGCATTTTCTTACCTTAAATAGCCCCCAAATAATCTTTGCATGAACAAGAGTTCCCCTTAATTTTTGTCACCAAGATTGGAATCTAGTTTTTATGGGTCATCATGTAGCACTATTTCTCAGTATACTTTAATAGTCTGTTTGCTCAAAATGAAGTAATTTGGAAGCTGGTAGCTTGCAGCGTTTCACACACAGCCAGCCACTGCTGTGACACTTTACAAAAAACTGACAAGTTTTTGAAATGAAACTGAAATGGAGCGCAGAGGTGGCAAACAGAGCTATCTTAACTGACCTGCTCAAAACCAAGACGTAGAGAGAGATGATGAACCAGAACTAAACCCCAACACACTGCTTTCAAACCTGAAGAGACTTTCTACATTAAAAAAAAAAAAAATTCTTCTCAGGGAGAGTGGATTATTCAGTTAGTTCATAAAAGTCACCACATAAAGGATACATTCACAGAAACAATTTTGGCTTTTGTCACTGATCTGAGAACAAAGTTTCTAGAATTTAAACCGTACTTGATGTGTTAATTTTAAAAATAAATTGTTCTCTTTCTGCCACTGAAGTCTGTGAGTTATTAGACCATGTAGCATGGCAGTTAACCACAAATGTATTATTGTTGCTTTTCTTTAAAAATACTGAAGTTTAAAGGAATCCAAGACTGAGAAAGCAAAAGAATGTGTTGAGTTATAATTTCCTTGTCTCTCAGAAAAATTATGTCACTATTAGCACTCACAGAGACTTAGGTTTTTTTTTTTTCCAAGATTAATTCACTCTGTAAAGTACACATATAATCCTGTCTTACAACAGGAAACAGCTAGTCATTATTAGCAGATAATCTTGGTTAGCTCTTAGATGTTTTCTTTCCTTTTCAGAAAGTCAGATCCTGAGTTTCCAGACGGGCTCGTTAAAACAGAGCTGTAGTCATAATTAAAATATTTTTTAAAATGAGACCGATGAAAAAAATACAAGAATTATTTTTCCAGAGCCAATATTTGGTGATTTGTAGATGAACTTCCAAAGTAAACCCAGTAATGATTAATACTAAAAGACAAAATAATAACTAGACAGGGAGGCTAACAAATTTTTCTGTGAACAGTGCTGTTAAGAGTTGATTTTCAACTGGTTTATAATAAGAATCAGCTGCCAATTTAATGGAAAAATATGTGGGTTTCATTTTACAACTGACCTGAGAGCTCTCTGCTCCCTTTCAGATGAAAGTTGAAGTTTTTCAGTGCTGTACAAAGCATGGTCTTTATGTTAAATTTTGAACATAGTTTTAATGGAAAACAAGGACTGAAGCGGTACTAGAACAGCAACTGTACTGCAGAAGTTTTTAAAGGAACACTCCCTTACTGCTGTTTCTGTGCAACAATATAACATCTCATGTCAACACTACACCTTATACTGCTGCATAAACAGGTAGAAAAAGGAACAGAATCTCTCCCTTGGACAGCAATTCCCACAGGTTTGTAAACATTGTGGATGTAGATTACCTTAAAGAAATACTTTACAAAATGTTTCCAAGTGAAATGGAGAGATAACAGTGATAACTGTTGCAGTGGAATACAGAAAAAAGCACCTTCATTACACTTCCCACAGAAAGTTTTGTTATTTGCCTTGGTTTAAGAATCAGAACTTGTTATTTGTAGCAGATTGTAGGGACTCTTAAAAGAAGTAAAATCCTCAAACTAAAAAGCTAAAATAGGTTGACATTTATTTTATTGAAAAAATCCAGTATTTGTTCCTGTTTTAAGGTATTCCTAATTACAGAAGACAACAAATTCACTCAATAAAATATCTCCTGTATAATTCACACTAAATTTTCTGCTAGTCTGAAATTATGACCCATAGAATCTGAATTATCAGAACAGCTAGCAGAATTCAGGAAATCAGTAATGGATAGTTCATCCTCTTACAAGTCCCTTCAACAACATACTGCGCTATTGGGAGCAAGGTAACTTTCTCTAGGTTCTTTTTTAAAAGGGCATGTCTACCACTCAAGTTTTCCTTGGTTACAGTAATATTTTTATGGAATTACTTTTGGTTTTGAAGTCCAAAGTCTTAAAAGGAGGTAGCATAAAAAAAGGAGTAGAACATGACTATTTCAGTTCTGCAGACAGTGATACGCTATACAGAGAGGATACTCAGTACGATAACCCAAGAGCCTGCACCGAAGTACAACTGCTCTCACCAAAATATACTGAGATGATATTTCTGTTTGAAATGTATGACTGGCAATTCTGGGCAAGCACCATTGCTAGAAATCTTTTAAAAATCTTATGCACAGAAGTGATTATTATGAACAACAGCTGAGAGTTGAAAGATACCCCCCAAAAAAATGGTGCTAGTGTCTGGTGCTTGGTGCCTATAACTAGCACTACAGGATGCTAGTTATAAACACACACACTCTCTTCTGTCTTCAAATCCATATATTTTCTCCTTCAAGAATTGGAACAAAATTCATAAATACTTAAACCTGCAAAATATCATTTTGAATATATAGATAGTTTAACAGCCCTGATGCAAAAAAAAAGGGGGGAGGGGCAGGCGGGCAGGGAGAACCTAGACTTTTTGAAACTATTTTCACCTTCAGTGATTATTGTGCTATAAAACTTAATGATCAGTAGCTCAAAACATTGTACAAACAGTGAGGAAATTTTTTGTAACTCAAACAGATAAGTCAGCTGTAGGCTAATTATATGATTTAATACACTAGAGACAAAAAATAGTGATAAATACAAGTCTCATTGTGATAACAGTTACTACAAGATACCAGTGTAAAATCAGTGAACTTTACATACTTTCTTAGCTCTTAGTCTTACTAAAAAATTCTGTGCTGTAACCTAAACTCAATGCATTTTCTTTAGAAAACTGAATCCTCTTTCAGAAGTAAAGCAAGCCAAGCCAAATACAAATGGTAACACATTTAACAGTGACCACAACCCCAATAAGAGCACAAAAACCTCCCTCTTGTTAGGCAGATGGCTACATTTGGAACCATTTGTAGTTCTGTTTGACTTAGGCTGTGACTAGCAAGATGTTAATCACAACTGGAAATGGGATTTTATAAAAATTACTACAATCACACCTATCTGAGGCTAACATATAATGTTCCACTTAAACTCACAGAATTAGACATGGAGACATCAAGTATTTATAGAAATATCTACAAACTGCAACTGCCTTTTTTTTTTTTTTTTTTTTAAGTATCAGTGAACTGACCTTTAGAGTAAGGGTTTCATGACAACAGGCTACTACTCCACATCAGCCGCCTTGGGTTTTATTTTGCATACACTAGTTTATTCTTTTGATGATGCTACTTTTTTGCATATCTATCTTTCTAAGAAGTGCATGCTGAGAAACTTGGGCAAAATCGGTCTTAAGCTTCTTATAGAGTCTGAAGAGAGAGCTTTTGCTAAATTTTTGCTGTGCCTTAAAGTCCTATGTTATTAGACTTACTGTTTCACCTGTGTTAATATCCAAGGCAAAACATTTTTAACAAAGGGAAAACACTGGCATAACATTCTTCAAGTTCAGATGCAAATGGAAAATTGGAAATTCCACACTCTCCAGCTGCCCTAGGCAAATTAAAGTGTTGCTCCAACAAGCAGTGCTGAAGCCTTATCTTAGTATTGAGCAGAGATGAAGGAAAACAGACATGGAACACTTACAGCATGAATAGGCTGAATGATAACTATGTAAAAATGTTAAATAAAGCTAAAATCCTTCAATTTTTCCTGACTATTCTGCAATCTGTTTGCAAAAACTGAAATTAATGGAAAATGCTTATGGAGGTTCAGAGACCCTCAATGCTATTTTACCTTCATCTGAAATGTAAAAGGACAGTACCCGATTAAAAACAGCTCTGTCATTGAACTAATAGTTTTCATTACGAGTTTCGGTGTTTCCAAGATTAAACAGAATATTACATAGAAGGAACAAAACTAGAGGATGAGGTACTTATTTAAAGAACTAATCTAAAGATTAAACTTGCTTTTGTAAGATGTTATGCTCGACATTTTCAGCTGGAGGTACAAGTTAAATTGGCCATGCCTTTGAAGCATTCACAAAGAGAAACAAACAGAACTCTGTATTTGCATCCATCCATTCAGGTGGTTTCTCAGATTACATTCTTTGAGAAAGCAATCACGTCCCAAAAGATACTTGAGGGCAAGAACACAAATCTGCAGAATTAGGGCAAAATCCCCCAGGTCCCACAAGGCCATTTTCAAAGCAGACACTTACAGAACTTAGGGAAGTGGTATCCAAAGATCATCTAGCATTGTAGAACCGCTTAGAGTTCTGAAGAACTGGGTCTGCTTCAAAGCTCAAGAATGATGAGACTGGCAAATTTAGTCATGAAACTCCTACTGTGGCAAAGAGTCCTTGGTTTGCAGATCCTTGTCCAGTTGACGTTGTAGACAACTGAACTGAAGGTGTTGGTATCCCTGACGACTTTGCTAGGAAAAGGAAGGCCAGCGCAGGTTGGCTGTCCATCCTGTGCTCAAGGTCCTCCACTGTATGAATAATCTGCCTTGTTGTGCATCACGAGCTTGTTGTCTACAAAGTAGAAACTGTCCGACTGCGTCTCATACGGATGAAGGATCATCTCTCGAACTGCAGGGGAAAAAAAGAAAAATGGTGTCACACAGAAGCCCTACTGAGGCAATGCTCTGCACTGGGTTTCTGTTACATTTAACAGCATTGCTCAGATAGCAGCAAACTCACAAGTGAAAAACCAAAACAAGAACCTACCCAAACCATTCGTTGACAGTATCTTTTAGAGAACTCAAACATATTCCAAATATGTTAAGGCACCATACAAAGTGTGAGTGTTCTACCTAACTGCAAAACAATATCACACTAGAGTTTGGGGCTTTTTTAATTTTGTTTTTAAAAAAGTGATAAAACAGCAAACTCAAAGGAAATTTGTTCTGGTGTGACAATAAGCAAGCAGCAGTGCATCACTGTATTTTCCACCAACTGTATTATTAGTGCTGACCTACATGATTAGGGGTTGTAAAGAATATGAGGTCACACAGACAGTACTGATGCTGTTGTGTCTTGGGAAAGAGGAGAGAAGATAAAAGTTATATTCATACTAAAACTAAAACCTCTCAAGCTATCAATATAGCACATCAAACAGGACATAACATTTAAGTCACCCGTTTACTGGACATCTTTTTAATCCTAGTTTTTTTGTCGGTTTATAACAAAATTGTTTTTCTCCCTGACACCAAAGCTTCCATTTTATGAATTAAAAAAAAAAAAAAGCAACTTGTCTGGTGGGTGACAAGATACATGCTACTAGAAAACGAAATCTGTATTAACACAGATACAAAACTACCTGGAAGTATCCTACCCTACCTTTGCTTCTTCAAAACACCTTAGATTAACATCACTATGTGGTAACCCAGTAATTAAAGAGAGCTTACTGAGGTCCTCAGAGAGCTGTGGGAATTCATAGATGTGCTCACAAGTATTTTTACTGCTGGGGATGCAGAACCCAAATTCAAAATCAAAACTCTTAAGCAATTGATCCCGGAAGTAGTGCCTCTCAATCATGCGGAAGTTATTAATGGGTTTGTCCCCTACTGTGAATTCCACTCTGAAAAAGAAGGATAAGATTGAAATGAGCTTTCTTCTTTAAGTAAGATTTTCAACCATTCCTGAAATGTAGAAGAGAGGTCTTCTAAAAAAAGCCAAAAGTCTAAAGCAAATTATAGTTTCCTCTTTTTCTTAAAGCATGCTACAGGGACACAACATAGCATTACAAATCATAGATTATAATATATTTTTATTCTTTTTACTAAAAAAAAAAAAAAGAAAAAAGATATGCAAGACAATTTTACAATTTTAAACTCATCTTCAGTGAAGAAAAGATCCCTCCAACTATATTGGATAGGCACTTCACTAGATGACCCAACAGAAGTTCCTTATTGCTTTGGGGTTTTAGAAAAGTTATTTTAATTCTTCTAGTGGGTATTAAAAAACCAGATCTACAGAAAACTGTCTGTCTTCTGTTCCTGCTTTGTAAATGGTAAAGGGGCACAAATTTCAACCAGCACTATATTCACATTTCTCTTAAGAAGCATGACCTTTTGGAGAAAGACAGGTATTGGTTACATATGATACACTATGAGTAAGCCAGGAAGACACTGTTACTAGTTTGGCACAAATCAAAAGCTGGATATTTACAATTTTAACCAAATAATTGCCAAAGAGTGCTAATTGATACATAACTTGGATTTTTCTTCCAAACCAAAATCTAAACAGTGCACATCTTTAAGATTAGCAGGAAGCACTATTACACAATTTTGCTCTAAATATATTCTCTGACAACAAATTTTAATTCTTTTCCATCAGAACCAAATGCTGAATTTTAATAAAGTTCTTAAAAAAAAACTTTTTTTTTTCCTAAGCAAGGCTGCTGTACATCAGTTCTTGTGAAATACACCTTTGCTGCTGAAGAGATCTATCAAACTGCACTCCAACATGAATCTAAATTAATGATTTCTGTACACCTGAAACAAATAGATTTGTGCTGGAAACTGTTAACTGATGCTCAATTATAGGATTATGGACTTCATCGCATAGTAGCAATGGACATAAAGCTCTTGATTAGATCTACTAATTTAAACATAAGTGAACGTAAAGAAAAATAAAGATAACAAAGAACCTGCCATGCTGTGACCCAATATCCTTCCAAAATCTCCACCAGAGACAAAGCAGCCCACCAGTCTGCTCTTTGCAGCTGAAAACTGCATGTCCCCATGCATGCTATTTAACTGCTGATAAATCTGTAGTTACTAGTAAGTTAATAGTAGTAGTAACAGTGTAGTTAGGAGTAATCACTACTAACTTTTACTGAAGAAACAATACACTCTGTCACTTGTATTATAGTAGCAATAACTCTGGCCTAAAGCTTTACAGAAAGGTATTTTAGCTGTCACGTTTTGGTGTGGTTTATTAACAGATGCAAGCAGTACTACCAGATGCATCGAAGATCATTTTGGTACTGTGTCAAACATTACTTCACCATTTCATGCGCATCTATGGATTAATGATTTTTGGGGAATGCACCCTGGAAGGCTGCAGGCACATCTTCCAAAGCTGGCAGAACCTCTGACAGGCAAACTATGATGTACGGAAGAGAGCTGGAATATCTGGGTAGTCTGTCCACCTTATTTTGCCCCTTCTAGCATTAACCTCTTCAACGCCATGCCTATTCCTGAGTTAAATAAACAAGCTAAAGGGATGGAGGAAGCAAGGCATCCAGCAAAGGTGTTTGGAGAGTCTCAGAATAACAGAAGATCCCTATGAAATCAACGTCCTGACAGGATCAACAAGCAAAAGCCACTTTTTCTAAGGTTTCAGTTGTTTCCTGTACTAGAAAAAGTAGCACAGGAGCAATTACTTACGTGGCTCCCACTTGCCGAAGTCTAAGAAAAGCTGGGGTAAACTGATAGCGTACAAACCGTCCAGCATTGGGGTCAATGTCCTTCTTGTCATTGTGTTCACGTTCTGGAAAAGCGCAAAGTAAAGCTCCGTCACAGTCGTCTGAGAAACAGAAACCCAGTGAAAATACTTGCAATCATATATTACTGAGACATATAAGCCAGGAAACTATTCTGAGAAAGCCTGACAACGTGCTTACCCTCTTCCTATCCTCTCAAAGGCATCCACTACCGGTCACTGAGAAAGAGTATTGCAAGATGGCCCTTTGGTTTAATATACTTCTTATCTTCTGAAGTGACTTACTGCTCCTACCTCTGCTTCAGGATTGCAGCGTGACTCTGAACAAGCCATTTCACCTTAGCGTGTCTGGTTTGCTACCTCTGAGCTACAGAAAACTTCCTCTCACCTGCAGGGAGATGGGGAAGACTTAAAAGAGCACTTGATCAGGAAAAGAACAGCTGCCCTGGGTTTTTATTACCCCTGGCAACAGGTAACACTTTGGTGGTTACGAGTAACACCTAAAAATTATGAAGGAAAAAAAAATACACAAATTTTCAGTTTGTCTAATTTGCACAATTGACATAGTTGCTCCTTTTTGGAAACACCACTTTCCTGACCCCTGAGTGAAAGATGTTAGACTAACAGTTAAACTGTCTACAGGGGGACTCTAGCTGATGAACAGCCAAGAACTAGCCGTGACCTCCTCCTCTGCGGCTGTTTACAACATCCATCTGTCCTGCCTCAGCACAGATGGCAATCAGAAGAATACAGCCGCAACAAGCTCTGTTCGCCGTCTTGGTACAGAGGGACACCTGAATAGTATTTCTGCTGCAAGCTGGGACTCTAGGCCTCTTGCAGTCGAGAGCATCTCCTATTTTTGGGAAGTGTATTGAGTAAAAGGAGCAGGAAAAGGCAAAAGGAAGCAGATAGTGGCATTTGTTTGTTCATGAAAACAGTATTTCGTGTGTGCACTCACCTGAAGTTGCTGGTTTGGTGATTTCAAACAAGACTGTGCCAGATTCCATGTCCCGGATTTTGAACCTGGTGAAGTCTATCTTGTAAACATTTTCCTCTGGAGTGCACAAATAATCTGCAGAGGAAAGCAAACTTAAATGAAGGCTGCCCAGATTACCAGGTACTACTCTTTGGAGATCACAACCAGCAATGAGAGCAACTCAAATGCATTTCCACTACTACCCTGTTTTTAATCCAAAACTGGGGTTTATGAAGACAGTTCCAGTTCTGAATGCTCACACCACCCTGCTTGGACAGGACAGGGAAAAGGCTTCTCTCCCCCAGCACTCAGAGGTCATCACCTTTTTCCAGCCCTGTGCCAGCATCTTCTGCATCCATTTCCCCTCAGGGTATTGAGAATAGTCAGCACCTCCATCAAATCCTAGCCTTTCCAGTGTAAGAGGCTTTGCCTGTTTTAAAAACTGCCCTCCGGCAGAAAGCAAGTGCTAAGCAGCTTTGGGAGCACTAAGCCTGCACTAAACTGGAGCAGGAGTGTCCTCCCTTGTTCCACCTCCCCTGTCTCCAGCCCTCTGCAGACAAAGGATGGCCTCTTCTCTCCACTGATGCTTGTCCCATGCAAGGATTTTTTCTTCCACACCACAGAAAATGGTGCCTTTTCCTGTGTTAGGAAAACAGTCTGGGAACAGAGCCCTTCCCTGCTTCCACCAGTCAGTATTTTTGGGAGAAAGTCATTGTTTCTGGCTTCAGCCTTGCTCTGCCCTGAGACAGCTCCCTGGCCTGGGTACCAGCCTCCTCTCTGGGGAAAGAGCCATGGTGCTTCATTTTCACTGCACATATAAGCACAGATTGAAAGCAGCTCCAACAACTTACTTTACCCTGACAAGTCTCAATAAGTGTTATACGTATACAAGCCAGGTTAGCTTTTGAACAACCCTGCAATCTGCATATTGTAGGAGACCTGTTTTGGAGGTTCTAAGGTGAAAGTAAAACTTTAACATTCTAATTCTAAGCCCTTTCTCAGTTGCTGCTTGTCTGACTTAATCCCTTATTTCTGTCTGCTTTCTTATTTCTAAAATTCAAATACATCCATCCACCTAAGGCTTATTCTTTGACTATATGAAAACAAGTTACAGTGTACTCAAAAGATCATACCTGCCCATTACAACACCTACTTCAGCGCAGGTACAACAAATCAGGTACCTACAATACGGTTGGGGCTTGTGGTTCCTGGACAGTGGTTAGCACACCCCATAGACAAAGAGTTAATAAAAGATTGCTGCGGGGTAGTAAGAGAACATCCCAAACGCCACGCATTGCAACCACCAGACAGCAAGGCCCTCATGCTGGGATCTGTAATTACAGAAATCAGGTCTCTCTGTAGTCAGCACTATGGAAGATTGCTCCTAGGCGTTGCTGAGCAAGAACTGCACATCTAGCACCGGCACCGTCCTCGAAGCCTTTTATTCTCTGCAAATCTCCTTAACTTGGAGGACTGTCTGCGTGCTTGCTGGTACAAGGAACAGAGGCGTTAAACATAGTCTCTGGACAGTTCTGCTGCTCTCCATCATCACCACTGTATGGTGAATGCTCAAAGGAATGGGTTTTAAGAGAGAGGACTGTGTTCGAAGCATCTCCGGTGTTTGGCAGGGAGGTTTCCCTTTCAACATAGCACAAAGAAAAACTAATGCCAGTACCGGAACTATCAAGAAGAACAAGGTAAAAGCTCAACCTTTTTACTACCACAAGAAAATGCAAGCCTAACATTAGAAGAAATAGCCCAAGGACTGCACAAAATCTTCTTTTCCATCTTTTAACGGTAGCCAACAAGATGGGACAGAAATTTAATTCAACCCCTTGCCTTAAACCCCAACATTTAGCAATCCTCAGGTAGATGTCCTGCAATCACATGATGATTTGAGGTTCTAACGCATCAGCCAGCCCAAATTCTCAACCCATCCCACAACTTCCCTGCTCCAAGCGGCCAGATGCAAAATGCAAACTGACAGCAGCAGGCGCAGCTCCTGCAGTCCCGGCTTCGCCTCTCCCAGCCCACAGCCACGCTCGGGCCAGCTGCTCTCCATGAAGGCGAGGGGCTGCACCAGAACAGGCTGGCGGTCGCCTGGGAGCCCGGGACACCTTCCCTAGAGCACGCAGACAAATCTGAAGCTGGGTTTGTCTGCAAGTTAATTATTAAGTGGTTTTCCTCCTGCAGAATTCCTGCCCATCCAGCACCATGGCAACAGCTTTATCCCCCCCCTTGGCAGCAGCGTTGCTGCAGTAACAGTGTCCCTGACTCATCTGGAGGAGAGGAGAGCCAAGCAGCGGAAGAGGAGTAAACCCTGGGCAGAATCCCCACCAGGCTCCTGCTTGTTGATGTTTGCACCCCTGCACTCTATTTTCCAACTCTTTTTGCACTGAAAATATTTTTAAAACTTTTTTTTTTTTTTTTTAAGGTCAACATGCCAGTGTCTAACCAGATGACATCTGGGAAGATTAGCTGCCAGAATACGGCAGTCAAGTGTTTTTTCCTCCTCTGGCAGTGCCCAG